GATGCAACATCGATAATCGATGTCAATAAAACCGACTAAAAACCATCTATATTTTTTCACATCGATGTTTTCAAGCTAGTTTAGTAACCTCTTACATTAATTTCTTTAGCAAAAGAATTTAATTTGACTGTATTCGTGTTTATCAATTCGTCGAATAAGGGTACGAGAAGAAGGGGTAGACCCTACGTTTACAGAGAATTTGTTGACAATATTTCAATGTGCGAAATGAATATGAAGAGAAAATACAAGGGCATGGAGTTTATCTTGGACGAGAGAGAGAGAGTGGTCTATGACGGCAGTGCAAAAAGCGTTCCTTTTGTTCTAACACATAGTTAACACTGTTACTATCAGTTATTATTTCATATTTTAACTTTAACAGTATTGTGACCATGGGAATTTTTCATTAAGAAACAAAACATAGAAAAAAAGCAAACATCGATCAGAACACATCAACATCGATGTCACATCCCTAATACCTGAATGTCGAGCTTTCAGACATTACGGTCAGTGTGCCGTCGAAATACCGGTCGTTTGCAACGGGAGTCCGCAAACGAAATCATAGTAATATTCCCATAAAGTCACAGCTCTTTTTTTTTTTTAATTTGCGAGGAACACTACTAAACATTATCAATGAAATGAGTGTAAACTGTGGGTTTCGGTCTATTTTTACACGAAAAGATTTCGATTTATCTGTCAAAAAACAGTAAAAACTGTATGAACGTAAGGGGGAGAGGATCACCCAATATATTCATTAACAGTCAATTCCTAGGAGCTTGATGAAGGATTTTTGATCACCCATATATATTTTGCTTATGAATACACAGATGATGTCAACATATCATTATATTTTAGTTACTATAAAGCTATTTTTGTAGAACTAAAGATGGTTAATGAGCAATAAGCAATTACTGCAATTAGAATATATATTGGTGCAAGAGGTGTCATCTATCGCCGCCTAAAGTAGGTTTTTTTTAAAAAAAAATATTTATTTTTGAGTCTCCTAATAGCACAATTATTAATTTATTCTCTATCGTCCTTGAATATGCGGAATTTTGAACTAATTTTCACAGAAATATTGAGTTTTCTAAGAACTTAATCTGATATTATTTAAAGCACATGTACTTATAAATTCAGTAATGTAAATAAATTGCCACTAATGTCAATATTAACGACGTGAGAGACAAGTCAAAAATGTAATTTTTTGTAATAGTTTCGTAAATAGTTTTTCGTAATTTTTGAGAAAACAAAGGCAGAAAGAAATATGGTGTTTACGTCATTTTATAGAGTACATTTAGTACTATCATTATCAAGAATTAAACGAAAAAAATTGGAGCCGTTTTTGAGGAAACCTTGTTTTTGTATTTATTTTTTTTAATTACGAATATTGCACGAAAACTACTACAATATTCAAAAAATGTTCATGACCTCATCGATGGAACTGATTTTGAGTTACAAATTCCATTGGGAGGAAAAATCTCTATCTTTAATTTTCTAGTTGTATGAAGACGCAAGAAATAATTCAAACTTGAAATTTTCGAAAATGCAGAGTTAACCGTGAAAATCGGACCAATGCCACTTTCATAAGTAAATGTTTCTTTATTCTTGCAAAAAATTTGGACCCGTTTTTAAGAAAATTATGAAAATGCCCGGAGGGTTCATGTAAAGTATCCCCTAATTTTAAAGAAAGGTTTTCAAAATCTCAAAACTTCGACTCGAGCCAGATGGACAGATGGAAAAAATCCTTTTGGAAAAAATCCTACGCATGGTTTAGGCGCTAGTATTCTCAGACGGACAGACAGACGTTTTGAAAAGAACCACATTTTAGGTATCAGGAAACCCCAAAACTTGCATTTCAGTTGAAATCTCGAAATAGATTTTCCGCAAAATTACAAAACTTCCCCTATAATATGTATATTACTCTGTATATACGAAGGTATACGGGAAAGTAAAAATACTTTAACACGAGGTGCAGCAAGAATCCTTGCTTTGTGGGTCCTTGATACCGAAAAACCAATTGACGGCAAAACGCCTGTACGCCTGTCTGTCTTTCTGAACATCAGTAGCGCCGAAACCATATGTACGATTTTTTTCAAAATTAATATTCCCCGGTCGATCTGGTTCCACTAAGGCGCTGCGATTTTGAAAAACTTAAAAATTTGGGGCTACTTTACATGAAGCCCCTCAGAAATTTTTAAAATTTTCTCACAAAGGTTCCAATTTTTTTTAAAATGTTGTAAATATAAATTAAAATACACTTATAAAAATGGCGATGGTCATATTTTCACGGTTAACTCTAAATTTTCGAAAATTGCAAAATTTTGAATTTTTTCAGCGTCTTCCTACAACTACAAAATTAAAGATAGAGATTTTCCATTCAAATAAAATTGTTTTTTGATTGTCAGTTCTTTCATTAAGGTCAGTTACATTTTTTGAAAATGTTAACACATTTCGTGCAATATGAGAAATTTAAATAATAACGAAAACAAGATTTTTTCAAAAGCGACTCCAAATTTTCTCTCTAATATTATAGTATGGATAGGGCTAAATGTACTCTATGAGATGACATAAACGCCATTTTGCTCAATTTTTTGTTTTTTCAAAAATTACAAAAATGTAAGATTTGTACTTCTCTTTTTTTTCTTTTTTTCTTTTTTTTTTGTTTTGTTTTTTTTGTTTATTATTATCCAACAGGCATATAATGCCTAAATACCTCACATCGTTAATATTTACATAAGCAACAATTTGTTCACATTCATGTATTTATGAGCACATGTATTTTAAATAATATCATATAAAGTTTCTTTAAAACAACATTTTTCTGGGAAAATGAACTTAAAATCCGTTGTTGTTTTTTTGAGAAACTCTTGAAGCCACTTTCTCCAAAAAAAACTAATTTTCAATATTTTCATTTAACTTTCATTTTTTCATTAAACTTTTCTAACATACGAGTGCTAAATGCACTGTTTACATAAAGATCATTTTGCAATATTCTTTTGTATTTTCAAAAATTATGCGTATGTAATTTTCTTCAAATATCTCTCATGCCTTTAATACGCACATTTCTAACAATTTATAAACAGTATTGTGTTTGTGACTGAAAATGCTCGAGATGACTTCTTATGAAGTTATTCGAAAACTCAATAGTTTTCTGTGAAAAAGAGATTCAAATTTTCGAATTTACAGTAGCCCTTAAATGCCATTTTCTTAGAAACAGCTCCAAATTATTAAAAGAAAATTTTCATTTTTTACGACAAAGTTTTACTGTTATTTAATATTCTTAAAATAATATTTCCATTCTAGTATTAGGAAACAGAATAATTAAGAAAATTTAAAAATATGGACTTTGAGTGGAGATAGATGGCAACCGGCAAGAGTATGCAGCAAGACCAAATAGCTAGCCGAGACCAATGGAAATAGAAAACTAATTCAGGAATGTCTGTGCCATTCTATAACACCATTAGTTTAAATTCTGATACATGCATAACAGCATCCCCATACCCTCGGGGCTTTGGAGTAATTCTCCTCAAACATATTTAATCGGTCTTACAGCAAGTCAAGTCAGTATCTTTGTCATTTATCCCTATACCCAAATGGGAACCTGTAGCAACTCAAACTACTTAACTTCCATGACTTCACGGAGCTTCGTTAAGACGTTTGGCTTCCAGCACCAGCAAGATTTTGCTGTATATAGATGATATCCATATCTACGAGTTGTGTGATTAACTGAAGCAATCTTTTTTATAGATTCTGTAATATGAAGGTTACTCCAAAAGTTTTGAGAATGAGCAACAATGAGTTACTCAGCAACAATGAAACTATTTCCATTGTTAGGTGAAACTTTTAGTAAGAATCTTGCACAAGTTTCAACATGCTCGGGAAATTTATTAACTTAAAAGGGCTATTTTTGTTCTATTAGTTGTTGTTCCTCTGCCAGTAACAATGGACCTAAAGAGAGAGCATTTCAGAGCTATGATTTTGCATGACTTTAAGGTTGGCTTAGATAAGTAATCATGCCTCGAGAGATAACAACGTGCGTTTGGCAATGGTTGCCCTTCACAAGCCACTGTCTATTGATGGTTTGCCAAATTCAAGAGGGGGAAGGGACTCTCTGGAAGATGAAGACCGTTCTGGCAGGCCCAATGCAGCAACAACAGACGAAAATGTGCAGAAAGTGGAACATTTGCTAAGGGAAGACCCTCGTTGTTCATATGCTCAGATTCAGGAAGCTTTAAATATTGGATCAGCAGCAGTAAGACTGATCCTGAAAGTAGAGCTTCACGTTAGGAAGTCGCTGTGCTGTCGCTGGATCCCTCACAATCTGTGAAATGAACAAAAAAGGGTGCGAGTGGATTGATGTCGTGAGACCCTTGATAAGTTCAATGGAGAAGATCAAAAAACATTTTTAATATCGTGACGGGTGATGAAAGCACGATTTATCAATTTGATCCAGAAATGAAACGGTAGTCATCAGTGTGGGTCTTCCCAGATGAAAATCCTCCAATGAAAGTGAGAAAACCCAGAAGCTTTGGCAAAATGATTTGTTCTTTCTTCTCTCCCAGTGGCCATATTGTGACAGTGCCACTCGAGGAACAAAAGACAGTCACTGGAAGATGGTACACTACAATTTGCTTTCCCAGATTGTTTGAAGAGCTGAGAAAGAACCGTCCAAAATCAGGTTTGCGTGGAATCCTGCTCCACCATGACAACGCCTCATTCCACACAGCCAGAGCAACAACTGAATTTCGGATAGAATCAAAGGTTAAAACACTCTCATCCACCCTACAGTCCAGACCTGTCCCCATGTGACTGTTTTCTTTTCCCTTATGTGAAAGAAAAACCTCGAGGTCATCGTTTCGAGTCTGCTCAATGTGCAATGACTGCATATGAAGATCAGATTCTCAGTATCTCTAAAGAAGTGTGGCGATCGTCTTTTGATAATTGGTTTAATCGGATGATACGTTGCATAGAGCACGGTGGAGAGTACTTTGAGAAGATGTGAAGGTAAGAACTTGTTATCTCGATTTTAAATAAAGTATTCTCAAAACTTTTGGAGTGACCCTTGTATAAAGAAAAAGAAATCACTGAATGTTTCAAGTGCACATGTATTATTTTTACAAGATTACACATTTTAGAGAATTTTACTGACAATTTTAATCTCAAAAATATACATTAACATTTTATTAGTGGAAGACTATGATCAGTCTATTTGGAATGCGTAACAAGTAGGGCGAGCCCTATAATCTGCAAATACAAATCTCACAAAGTAAGAACTTTAACTTAAGACCAGAATGAACACATAGTGCAAACATATTAAAATTGTATAAAATTTGTACAATGGTCACAAATTTATAACTACAGCAATTGCAATATCTTGTTTCTAAGAAGTCAGTATGAACAAATACAAGCAAAAACAGTACAAAAATACAATTATTTCAGAAACTATACCCAAGAACCTTTTATTACGATATGGCACGTAGAGACTAATTCAAATCTTGTAACTGATGAGTTCAGAAATCATTTCGAACAAATTCTTTTTATTTTCAGCAATTCAATTGTTTGAAACACTTCAAAAAAATGTTTAAAAAGTAACAAGAATTTTGAATTCACATGAATTTCAGGATTATATTGCTAATCTTTTTGTAGTGAAGTCTCATTTGTAAATAATACACAAATTAAATAATTTTCATAGGTAGAATGACACAATACTAGAACAATTAGAGAAATAATATTACATACAAAAATAGTTGTAAATTCTTCTACTTCTACTCTGGATTATTTTATCAGAACAATCTCCCAATTTCCACATTACTTCAACTTTAAAATGGTAACACTGGTAGCGACAACGGCTAATAAGAAATTACATAAAGACTTTACAAAATGGTTCATGAAGACATAATAGAAAGTGAAATTGGAAAACATTGTTTCCATTTTCTCAACTCCGTTTTCATCAATAGGGATTTCTATAATATTGTAACATCAGTTAATTTACATAAACTTCAAAATTATGTATTTTTTCTTCCATAAAATGATCTTTCATAAACAAATTCATCAGCATTTCTATTTGTAATAAATTGAATTAAAACTACAAAATATGAATTCAAAAATCAATATAAAACTTTCAAATAAATGTATTTTCACAAATAAAGCATACATAAAAAATAAATAACAATGTTTTTTTTTAAAAAATATCGAATAGGAATTTAGAAGTTCAATTATTATTGATTAAAATTTGTAAACGTACAGAGTAACTTACTGTGATCCTCCGTACATCTTAGGACTCTTCAATCAAATAAACCTTTTTTGCTTCTCCCTTTGGAGAAAATTAAATGTTTTTTTTTTGCATTTTCCTTTGAACTGACAAAATGACGAGATATAGTGACAGAATCAGAAATACAACTTTGTGCTTCATGCTTATTGCATAACAGGCATAGAAACAGCTGCCTTGGTGTGGGTAACATCTGAATCTCGCCACAGCTGCGTTACAGTCTTTGTTTGTGTGTAGAAGTTAATTCCCTGAAACAAAACAAATAATTATTAGCAAACAAACAAACAAAAGCTAGTAGGATACAGCAGCATATTGTTGTAATACGTATTGGTTCAATTTTTTTTAATTTAAATCATTTTTTCTTAAATGAACTTCCATGTTATAATCAAATTGTAGATTCAGATGGCCTAAACTGTTTTTTCCAAAGAACAACAACTACATGAAAATGACATATGTGAAACTAGTGGGCCTTCAGTAGCACATACTTTCTCACATTAGTAACAGTTGCAAAAATAATACTGCGCTTTCTGTCCTTATAACACATCTCATGGAATTTTACATTAATCACGTGTAAAATTCATTACCTATCATAGCACATTAGATGTGAAAACTAATTCTTATAAAACTAGTACATCATTTTCAAAAAAAATTTATATGATATTATTTAAAAAAACATATTTCATTAAGTAAAAAATCTCTAAAAATCTATTGTAGTTTCTGAATGTTAAATTTTTGGGGTTGTGAAAACTACAGAAAGTTCATCAAAAAATGGATATAGCTCCATTTTCATAAGTGTACTTTACTCTATTAGAAATAAAAAATTGTAAGAAAAAAAATTTGGAAGTGTTTTAAAAAATATATTTTTAAATGCTATTCTTCAAACAAAAATTATACCAAGCTACTATTTTAATAAAAAAATTGTACATTTTATAATAGAAAAAAATTCTAAATTCAATATTGTAGTTCTGCAAGGTTATTTTTTTATAATTTTCAAATATACAGAGAGATTATTGAAAATGCGACTTGTGTGTTTTAATAATTTTATTTTGTTCTAAATGTGGAAAGAAAATGAAACATAACTGAAGCCATTTAAGAAAATTATTTTTTAAAAATTACCTAAATTTCATTGAAAATTACACAAAGCCGTCATATTTTTAAAACTTATTATTATTATTTATTGTTCATGAGCTTTTGCAATTTTCTTAAATTCTTAAATACTTTTCTTCTTTCTTATTCTTTGCAAATTTCTTAAATTCAGATATTTCAATGAAAATGTGACATGCATCATTTTTTAAATGTCTTTTTGTTGTATCTGAGGGGAAAAAAATTTGAAATTATTTATGAAAATATTCAAAATTTTGAAAATATCGATAACCTACTATGTAAATTACCCCCCAAAAGTCGAGAATATGTTTCAAATTCATAGGATCGTGACATTGGCCACATCTATTGTGGAATATCAATTGTGAAGAAAATCATCTGCTCAGTTTTGTCTCTAGGGATGCTCACCGGCAAACACACATTCAGAGACAGACAGACGTTTAGCCAGCAGTCAATTATTTGGTATCAAGAACCTAGTAAACATGGAATCTGAGTACACTGTGTTATAGAAAGTAATTTACTGCATATAGGAACAAGATTTACCTTTTTTTTGAAAATATCCGGTCAAAAAATAACAGTTTTATGCCACACCATTTTAATACTTTCTCTATAATATGTGAGTAGCATTGAAGAAATTAAAAACAAATATTTGCAGGTATGGGACACTAAGAATTTTTTTAAAAAACTACATACAATTTGTAGCACTCTCGCACTAAAAATTGGTTGTTTAGTCCTTGTTCTACAAATTCCCTTAGAAAACTTTTGAAGGGTTCAAAAGTTATGACAGAGGACAAAATGTATATAACTCACAATGGAAACAACCCAGCTTTTTGTCAAAAAAGGTTAAAAAAATGTGACAATAAAATGGAAAAAACCTGTACAATAAAATAACATTTCCTTAAGCTCAGGATTATGTTTAGGATATATCCAGGGAATAGAATGTGTGTTTAGGTAAGCAATGGTGGCAAAAATAAAATTCCTCACCTGCTTTCCATAAAAGTGGGCATCACCCAGGAAAGATCCTCTCGTACCAGTGAAAGAGAACATAGGCAAAGGCACTGGGATTGGCACGTTAATACCAACCTGTAACGAGAAACACAAATGGTATATTGGATCAGTGCTGTCAAAAAAAACCAACAACAAACGACTAATTGCTGAGGCTACAAGAAATTAGTGACTTTGCAAAAGAGCTGATCATCTCTTGAGCTACATTAACTCTTCCACTGAGTTCAAAGACTACTCCTTGAGCTCAGAGAGCACGTTGTAGCATTTACAATGCATTTGTGTTTACCATTTGTTTGGCTTCAGAATGAAACTACTTACGGTCTGGGTAGCATGTAAGAGATAATTATTTCTTTTGATGATTTTCATTTGAAATGTTCATTAAACTTATCACAAAATGATGCCATAGATATCTTGTCAATTGCCATTACAAACATAATTTTTCATAGAAACACTGCTTCTTGCATTCTTTGTTTCTTTCGTACATTGTTGGCCAAGTAAGTTTGTTTCACTTAAAGATCCTTAAGACAATTACAAGATTCATCACAGAGATAGCTAAAAATGTATCATAATCTTTATTAATTTGCTGAAGGTTTGCACATTATGGTTGATGTTCCTTCATCAAATCAACAGTAAGTTTCTTCGATACAATTTTTCTTCTACACTGAATTTTCGGATTATTCAATTTTAAAATATTAGCATATATCCTAACAATGTCAATATATCAAAAGATAACAATGTGGGTATATCGTCCTGTTATCCTGGAAGCTGTGTACGATGTGTACATCTGATGAACATTCACAACTTTTGTAGTATTCTAATCCAAATTTACAAATTTTGTAGTGTCTTAAGTTTAAGAACTATTTAAAATGCGCAGTAAATCATTGAGAAAAAATTAATGTTTTGGGGAGAGGCATATATATATGTATATGTGTGTGTGTGTGTGTGTGTGTATCTATATATATACACATATATATAGATACATATATATAGAAGAATAAAAAGCAAAAACATTAATACTCCTTAAAATTTTAAAGCATGAACCATAGAACCTCAGACTAACTTTTACTTGGAAAGGAGTACACAATAACAATTGTCTAAAATAGGTTTGTATGTTGATAATAATACAAACATTTTAAACAGTTATTAACTTACCTGCCCGACATCAATCTCATTTGTAAATTTCCGGGCTGTAGCACCATTTGTTGTAAATACAGCAGTACCGTTACCATATGGGTTCTTGTTTATCAGTTCAATAGCATCATCCAAAGTATCCACACTTAATGCTACCAGCACTGGGCCAAAAATCTCCTCTTTGTAGCACTTCATATTAGGCTGTCAAAAGAAGATTACTATTAATTATTTTTCAAAAATTTTTGAAGTATGACCATTATGGAAATTTTGAAGATAATATAATAGTTCAACTGAAACAAAATACATTTGTCTTACATACATTCAAAAAAATGCTTTTGATAGTCCAGAAAGACCAACCATGCACTTCAATATTATATTTCACAAATTAAGTTACCATAAGATATGAAGTTTACACCAGGCACTTCTATTAATGTCTTGGTGTGATATGTGGTTATGATGTTTACAAGTAGCTCTATAGAAGTAAGTGTCAAAGTTCTTTTGAAAATAAAAGACGAGGCCAACAAATGGAGCTACAAAATTTTTTGCAGTTTTTGCTGATTTTGTAATTGTAGGGTCCTCACAAAATCAGCTAAAGCTCAAAAAAATCAGAATATTTTATGTCATATTGACTGCAATCCAATGCATTAAAAGACAGAATGTACAATGAAAAGTATTTCAAATACCTATTTCCCACTCCCTTCAGAAAGACAGGCCCAGATATTTGACCAATGTTTGTAAGGCCATGCAAAAATGCCACACTTTGACACTATTTGGTATCAATTAGAAGTAGAACAAAATGCCAAAACCACAACAATAAAATAAGAAATAAAATCAAAAGTGCAATACTTGTATATAAATAGTTAAAAATAATAAGTAAAATGTCAAACTAATGAAAATTTTTTCAGATCCCCATTTTATGAAATCTTGTATTGGTAGTAACTTCTCTAGTATTGAAGGTTGCATGCACAATATTTCATTAAGTTTGGACTAAAACTGTAATTTGTATTAAAAAATACATTTCTCTTTATACAAGAGAAAGCAATGTGAATACAAGTACTCTAATTTACACTCCTCAAAACAGTCGAGCTTTCAGTGTGCATCGGAATCAGTTAAACTGTTCCAGAAATTTTCTCGGACAAACAGACGAACAATCATCATAAAAACAATTGATTTGTTTTTAACATCTAAATAAGCATAAGACATCAAAAAAGGTAGTTTATTGCAATCACAGAGAAGCACTCAATTTCATTTACATAAAGGTATTATTAAATATTACTGAATAGTATCTAGCCGAAACTAATTAAATATTGAAAATTATTTACACTTTTCTGTTAGCAGAACAGATTGTAAAAAAGTTATATTAAAAATGTCAGAAACTTTACATATAATTTCCCTTATAAAGAAGAAAAAAAATAACTAACACATTGATGATATAACTATATGTTCACCTACTTTAACTTCGGTGAGAATTGTGGGCCCGACAAAATTTCCTTTTTCATAACCAGGGACAACTAGATCTCGTCCATCAAGCACACATTTAGCACCTTCATCAATGCCAGACTGCACCAATTCATTAATGCGTTTCTTGGACTGTGGTGATATCACAGGACCCAAGTCTGTCCCAGGTACATGACCTGGAAGAATAAAAACAAATACAGTGAAATCTGTCAAAGACAGAATTGCTTGAGACACAAAAAATATCAGTTTTAGGGAGGTTTCATTTTTAAAGAAGGATGTCCATTTTAAGACACTTGTGATATTGACGTTTCTGTGCTCAAAGTCGAAAATTACATAACTTTATTATAATTATCAAAACACATTAACATGTAACATATATATGGAAGAAATCACAAATAAACGAATCTTACACACTCTTATTGACAGCTTTGGAGTTGATAAATACACACCGTACTGGCTGTATTTGGATTGCTTGCTGACTCGATGCATAATGCGTCACAACCCAGTACTATTACTGTTGCATAACCTTGAGCAATACGTTATACTGAAGAGTAAAGATTTTCAACACTGGGCAGGAAAACACATTAATAGTAGATCGTACATCTTCCCATGCTCAGTGGGGAGCAGTAGAGAGGGGAGAGAAAGAATTACGCCTTGAGTGACAAGCAACCGCAAGGTCAAATTCTATTTTCACAGACTGACAGGACAGAAGCCCCTCTCCTTCAATGTCCAGCTGCCAACGGCTAAATCTCGTATCACAGGGATAGAGAATTTAAAACCAGCTTGCAGATGAGCCCATTTCATTAAGAACATATGTCTCCCTGCCAATTGCATTACATTCAGAGGAATTCTATTTTATGAAGATTTTCCCCCCCTACAAGACATAAAAAACCGTTCAATTTCAATGTTGGAGAAGTTCCATTTTATGGTGTGTCAAATTCCATTTTAACTGCACGGGCCAGAGAAATTTTCCAGTTAAGGCAGGTTTCCCTGTATTGTACAGGTTCCCGTTCAGGCAGATTTTACTGTATCTACCTGTCAATGATAATTAATATTTAAGTAATTCACTACAGGATAGGCTGTACTCCATTGACAAAAAAATGCTAATAAATATGAACAATTTGTTTCACAAGCAATGGAGCATGAAGGAATGTATCTTATTGAAAGAGCAATTCCAACCAAAGTGGCAAAATTGTAGGTTTACGACATTTCAAAGTGTCAAATACTGTAAGAACATTGGGAATATATTTTTATCTTAACACAACACAATGATTATCCTGTTGTTCTTCTTCTCCTTCTTCATCTCTTCTTCTTTCATTAGCTCTACAACCTTTTGAGGGTCTTGTCTTTCTCAATTAAGTCATTATATATTTTCCTATCCTCTACAGTCAGTCTCCATCTTTTCCTGACCAGCACCCAAAAATCTTGGCACACGCCATCCATCCACCGAGATCTTTGTCTTTCTCTCTTTCTTGCACCTGTTGTCACCTATTCCATTATCTTCTTTGGGAGTCAGTTTACCTGCATTTTCTTTGAATATGACCCAGCCACTTAATTTTTTTGAGCTTTAATAGCTCTGATAATATCCTCCCCTTTTATTAAGTTTTCTATTTAATGGATAGTTCTTATCCTCTATACATCAGCAATAACTCATTTTGGCCGATATATTTTATGTATTAACTGTCTCTCAAATATTCTTTGATGGTTTATGCTGTAGTTGTGTAATGTCCATGTTACTGCTGCATATGTAGCAATACGGTGTATTAAGGTATTGTATATTTTAATTTTTATCTCTCTTGTTAATTATTTTGATTTTAGCAGTTTTAGATAGGCATAATATGCCTTCTGACCTTTTCTTATTCTTTCACACATTTCAGATTGAATTAGACATTTTTCATTTAAGATAGACCCTAAAAAATTAAATTTTTTGACCTTTTGGAATTGGTAGTTATTTATTTGGATTTCTTTTATAGATTTATTGAGGGTTGTGGGTATCTGGTAACGTATATGTACTTTGTTTTTTGCTTGATTATGTGTCCCACCTTTAACATGATACTGAACTATTTTGCAAATTAATTTTGGAACAGTATGTTCGTACTTTTTTTGGGATTTGTTTCATTACGTTTACATTTATTGACCAGTATACTCATGAGACGAACTAACTTTTATGTACTTAACTTCAATACTTTTTAAGAAGAGGATACTGTACAATCTTATCAACCAGTTTATTAGCAGGTAAATTTATTATTTGCCTGCTAATAAAGTGGCTGATAAAACTTTAATTGTTTAATAAATTTATTTAAATACTGTATTATTTTAAATAGGAACCTGGCCAAGTAAACATTGGCTTTTAAAGCATTATTTTATTTATTTACTAATGACAACAGCTGAAGCTGATATGCACGTATCAAGTTACAATTAAAACCATCTGTAATATACCATATCATGCACATCTACTCTCAAATTTAATATCAACTCTTATCACAATTGGTGAACTGCTTTAAGCAATGAACAAAGGTTTCTTCTTCATTGGGAGTACTCGTGGCCTAGCTTCTCCTTGAAGGGGTCAACTGTCTAGCCAAAACACCATCGTATTCTAACTTTCAAAACACATCGACTGTTCAAACTGTGGCCAACTCAGTTCATGAGAATAGCTCTGTTCATCAGAGCTCCAGTACTATTTTTTCAACATTTCAGATGTCCAAGAAGTCAATTTTCAGCGGTCATGACAAAGATTTCATTCAAGTTTTGGATGTATCCACTGTTCAGGACTACAATATTTCATCAATATCATTCCTATTTCTTCTTTCTCGTACATTTGTGTGGGAAGGCACATTTTTTCACAACTTCCAGGATATTTGAGATGACAAGAGTTCAATGAGTATTTGTGTAACCTTTCTTTGAATTTTTTTGATATACCTTTCGTGAAATATCAATACAACATTGGCATTTTCAAGAAAGGGTCAACGATGTAGTGTATCTTTCCCAGTAGTAGCGACTCTTCCCTTAAAGGATTTTCACATGTGATATACAAGACTCTTCACTTGCCTAGCCACAGCAGCCATGTGCCTTTCCCATTTTAGATTTTGAATGATCCTGGTCATTTTGGCTAGTAACCTGTCACAAATGGTTTTATGGTGGATCCAAATGATATATGTGGATTTAAGCTTCCTGCGGGTCTTAGATAAAGGATAGTGCACTCATCACTGTTAAGAGATGCCAAGGGCTTGGTCATTTATTTATCTGAAGTAGATCATGTTGTAGAATATCAGAATCTTCTTTAGGCAAATAATTTCTCAACAGCAGCATAAATATTCCACATTGACTTGATGTTGCCTTACAAATTGTGGTATACAGGAGAGGTTTGGTCCAAAGACTGCTCCCTTTGGGATGAAACTTATAATTAGAGCCTGGAAGTTTGGCAAAATCCCTTTCGATTAGCATTATGATTTTAAGACTTAACAATAGGAATCACTTAACCGTTCTTCTAGAGTTTGTTTTAAACATTTTCATTTTGCCTTTTTCTCTTGCCTATTTTAGCTTCTCATGCCTATTATTAGTATTTTGCCTTTTCCTTTCTTTTCTGTCATTATTTTCTTTTCTCTCTCTTGGCACCAATCTTATTCAAACATACCTAGAAGCCTGGATAACATGAAGGGGCTGTCACGTTTTATCTTTCTTTACAAGCAGAGGCTCCAGGGTCAAGAATTGTTAAACAACTAAATGTGAAAAGAAGATGATACCAGCCAAGATAATTTTATTTCTTTTGTTGATGTCGGCAGGCTTTGTTCACTGACGAAGAATCCCATACTACTTTTTACAATGGCCTATGATCTCTTTCGAAGACACTGCTCCCTGTTTACTATATATGATGTTGCTTGTCTCAGCACTAATGGTTACAAATGTGAAGAATAAAAACAATACATGCATTTCATTATTGAATAAAATGATTAAAATTAATAAATTATGAAATAAATTTTTGCTGATGATATCCCAAATTAGAGTAGGCGAAAGCACTTCTAGACATCATCACAAGTTAAACAAATTCATAGTCATAACTGACAATAATTCTATTTAAACAGTGATTTTTCCATTGTTTACATATGTTGTTGCACCCTTATTTTAACCAGAATAAATGCTTTTTTGCATGCCTATTATGCCTACTTAAGTAAAAATAAATGCCACTTCACTTACTTATTTTAGGTAAAATAAATGGCTGCACTTCTGAACTCTACTTATAACTGAGTGAGGTGTTAATAGACAGGTCCAGATTTTGACTTTGAAACTTGGTAAAGAAAGCTCTCTATCTATGTGTTTAACTTTTCTCTAATTGCTTTGGAATGTTATTACATATGAAACATTGCATTGAAACTTCTGAATGTTTGGCCATCTTCAAGTAGCTGATATATATATTTTTTTTAAGAAAACCACAAGTTGAATCTGCTAAATAGAACTGTATATTATAACTTCTATTTATTATAAGAGCAGCATTAATAGTTAAAAGAACTTGCATTGATACTACCCCTTCTACTATGCTCAACAATGGTAAAATTTATTTTCTTGTATTCAATCAATGTATATAAATTTGGTTGTAGTTTCAAATGCTATGATGTAGTTTATGCATCGTAACAATATTCTTCTGACCATTCCGCCTCGCAACTTTTGTTGAAAACTGCATGTAAAACCCGACGGAGACTAAAACCCGAATCAACTCTTGTCATGTGCTCACTGCACATGTGTCCTTGTTTCACAGCAAACAGTACTTTACATTTTCCCTTTCATCTGTTCACTACAACTTGAGGTCAATGAGGCAATGAGGTGATGAGAGAGTATAGTGCACACCCAGTGCCTCGAATGTTACAGAAGGAAAAAGATCGAATACAATAATTTCTAACTATTAATCATTGGCCTAAGTGCAGAAATAATCGTTTTCTAACTTATTTTCTGGAAATAATGATTTTTGAGACAAACGGATCATGATAATAATTAAGATTATTTACAGTGTTTTTCAATTCAAAATTTATCGAGAATGCTTGGAAGATGTGGAATAATTTAAACTATTTCAAAAACATGAAAACAGCATAAGATTTGAAATAACTTATTCTCTAGAATTAGTTGTCCTATCTTTCTGTTATAACTTGAACATTCACTCAAAAACAAACACTGAAGATTTTAATTCTTAAAGTTAAAATGAATGTTAATAAATAGTCTATTCACAATTTTTTTTTCCAATAAATTAGCAATTTGAATAACAACTACAAATGTGAAAGTCTATTTCTTCTTCCATGTGCCTTGCATCGCACTCTCACTAGTTTGAAGCAAGAAAAACTACATTAATGGTGGATGAGAAATTGTTCTAAAGAGTACATTAATGTGATTTGTTACCAATTTATGGAAATAGTATCATAAGTAGACTATGACTGTCCCGCGAATACCAAGGACTGATATATACCAAGGCAATATATATTCCCTAAAACAAGTGATCCTTGACCAAAGTAGTTCAGAAAACACAAACCTATGACATGCAAACATTCTTACTTTTTCAGTTGCCACAATTAATCCTTTACTGTATGACCTGAACAAATTTATAGTACATACCAGCATTTACTTTCAGCTGTTTCGCTCTCTCTACCAGGTCAGGAATCCAGTTGCGTGCCTCGCCCACAAACACAGCAGTACTGAGGGCCATACAGCGCTGGCCAGCTGCACCAAAAGCGGCTCCCACCAACTGGTTGAGGGTGTTCTCTTTGTTGGCATCTGGCATCACTACACCATGGTTCTTGGCTCCCATGTTGCTCTGCACACGCTTCCCGTTGCGAGATCCCCTCTCGTAAATGTATTTTCCCTGTAATCAAAAGTTGGTAACATTAGCTACCAATAAAATACTTCCTGTGATTGAGGATTCGACTTTATATAAATGAAACAGAGAATGTTGGGTCTTCGTCAATGACAATACCTTATATCTGTAATTTTTATACAAACATTAAATTTTTTTTTTGTATTGTTTTCTTTGTTTTATCATGTCATACTTCATTAAAATAGTTTTTTACCAATGATTACAATTAATCTTCTGTGAATTCACAAGAAGCATATTTATACAAACTTATAAAATAAATAAAGACAAGCACATCAATAAATTTATGGAAAAGCCCTTGAAAAATTAACTGTCAGTTGATTTTGCTTAATGGTCTATTCCGTAGCTTCTGCTGAAGTTGTGTTATGTGTTAAAAAGAGGAAATTCTTTACTTCAATTTCTCAACGCCATATCACACTTGTGGCATGTAAAAGAACTTCGAGTAAATGCATAGCTAAATTAAAGTTTGCTGCATTTCCTACCCTAATCCAATTCTGTGTGTGCTCTGCCAAAGAAAAACATAAGAAATGGACTAAAATATGACCAACAGAAAAAAGGGAGTCAAAAGATAATTGGTGAGACTAAAAGCCCAAGGGGTATCCAATAAGTAATTCTCATCACATTTAATAAATTTTAACTAATTTACAAATTTAATAAATTTACCAAAGTTTCTAGTGAAAACATTATTCTGAAAGTTAGCAATCTCAAGAGTTCTATAAATCTCATTGAGAAAGAAATTATTACTTACTGCTTGATCAGAGCCAACAAATGAAATTGCTTTGATATCTGGGTGGTCACAGATGAAGTTCACGGCATCATGTGCCCCATGAATGACATTCACAACTCCTGGTGGGCAACCGGCCTGGTTCAGCATATCAAGCAGCATCATACACGCACCAGGGTCTCTTTCTGACGGTTTGATCACAGAGGTGTTACCTAGCACAATGGCAACTGGGAACATCCACAGTGGGATCATTGCAGGGAAGTTAAATGGTGTAATACCGGCAGTCACACCAAGGGGAAGGCGGTAGGAGTGAGTGTCTAGATCCTTGGCAATGCCTTGAAGAGTCTCTCCCAGCTGCAGAGAAGTGACACTACAACAGTGTTCTACCACCTCTGTAACAAATTGAAAATTTTGTCAAAGCATGTTCTGATTTTCAAGTCAGAATAACATTATTTTTCCATTTAAAAATTATCAAAAGGATAAACACCTTTTTGTTTTTATCTTGTAAGGTCGTATACCATTTATTACAAATCACTGGATCGAATCAAAAAAACTCTGAGCATTTTAATCATATCAGACAGAGATTTATTACACTTTAACACAAAAAATCCCTTTTTTTACCAATTAATTTATTGCACAACAATAGTAAGTAGTGTCATTCACACATATAAAATGAATTGTGCATTACCAAGATTAATTACATGAAACAACTAATACACCATACTGAAGGAATTTTTAACAAAAATGGCATTAATAAATTTTTTCAACCTAAATCAGTAATTTTTACACCTCCAAATAGCAAAGATATGACTAATATTGCAATTAATGTGAAAGTAATTTTTTTAATAAAAAAAATAAAAATATTCCATTCAAAATGCCTCAGTATGAGCTCATAAATTTGAACTAGAATGAATATACTGATATCATGACAAAAAATGGTTTTCACAAGACAAATAACTTTGCATCAACTTACGTAGTCCTCGTAAAACATCTCCTTCTGCGTCAACAAGTGTTTTGCCTTGTTCCAGTGTAATATTTTCAGCTAAAGCTTTCTGCAACAATAATCATCAAATTGGCTAAACCTTGCAATAATGCTTTATAATAATTTTCATTGTTCTAGTTGAAAGAATTTGGTGATTTTGAATGAAAATTATCTTATCCAAAATATAAAATACATTAGCAATTGCAGAAATCCATTATATGTACCATTTATTTATGCTTTCAATAAAAATGAATAAAACTCTAGGCCTACACAAAACTTGAAGCCCGATTAAGACAATACAAACAAATGTGACTATATTAACAGAAAGAGAAAAAATCATTGAAAATTTGCCAAATACAACCCATAAATTCCATTACAATGACTACGTACAAATTACTGAAAGAATTTAGTACTCAAAACAACATCAAGGTCGGTTATATAACTATAATAATCCAGTAAAGAAAATGCAAGAAAATTACTAAATTCACAATCTGAAGTTTTACTTCATCATTTCTTACCATGTTTTTTCTAATAATGTCTTGATAACGGAACATTATTTGCTGCCTTGAGAGAATAGATGTTTTTGACCAAGACTTAAAGGCTTCTTTAGCAGAGGTTACTGCAGCTTCCATTTCATCTTTTGTAGATTTTGGTACTCTTGTAACCACCTAGTAAAAAAAAACATTCAAAAGATAATGAAATTATTATTTGAATACAGAAATAGACAATTCAGTTTTATAGTAAAAATTATTTGATTTGGTTACATAATAGTTGCACTTAAAGAACTAAATGTATAACCAGAAATTATTGCGGTTTCTTCACAAGTACCTCATTTGTAGCAGGGTTGTGAAGATCAATCCAGTCAGTGGTTTTGGACTCCACAAATTTTCCATCAATGAAAAGTTTTGTTGTGGGAGCTGCTGCAGAACTTTGACACTGTATCCTCTGCAAACCTTTTGCAAAGCCCTAAACACAATACAATTTCAAAAATAATGCTAATTCTATTATTCACATGACACCAATATATTTTTATGCTAATGTCAAGGTCATGTTTGCTTTCTAACCAAGGTCACCTAAGTTGATTGTCATGCTGAAGAAAGAGAAAAGTTACACAACACAGCATACACTCTTACAATTTATTCCTAATAGTGGAAGGGGGCGACTGAAAATGTTCAATAAAACGCAATGAATGTACCATTACAAATAAAATCACTTTCCATTCGTGTTGGAGCATTTTTGTGCTTGATCTAATTTAGTGCGCAATTTAATTAACCGAGAAGTGTCACTGCAAACCATAATATGAAATTAAGTAACTTACACTTACTCAAAATAATTTAAATAAAATACACGTAACCTTCGCAAACAAACACGGCCGTACCATCGCACAACAGAACACATTAATATCACAGACAACAAATGCAACTTAATTTTACCTGAAATCTTTGAGCCCGTTTTAACATTGTTGAAGCCATGATCAACCTAATTGTGTCCCAACAGACGTCACCCCCTCAAGCAAATCAACGTTGGCAGCCAGGAGCCGGGCGCAGGGTCGGTCGGCTAGCAGCAGCTAGCGGGACGTATTGGCGGGGAGCGGGGAGAGCCGGCGCGACAGACTCAAGGCCGCGTGTGGCACGTGGTTCCAGTGGCACCACTGAGTATTTTGAACGCGTCATGCTCGCCTTTCGGGTTAAGTGTTTCGGTCTGAATTGCTGTTGCCAGCCACAATTACATGAATTGCGCATACTTTAATGTACGCAAATAATAATAATAATAATAATAATAATAATAATAATAATAATAATAATAATAATAATAATGATTAGAAGAAGAAGAAGAAGAAGAAGAAGAAGAAGAAGAAGAAGAAGAAGAGCAACAAATAAAAATAGAACAAAAAAAAATACTTCACCACCTGGTCATAATACTAAGCTTAAATAATTGCGAAGGAATAGTATGATTACTGATTCATAACTGCGAACCACTGTTGGAACCCCAAAGACAGTACTTAACAGAAGCATTTGTTATAAAAGATCTTTGTTCAAAGAATTGACTGCTTCAACCGGGTTGGCTTCCCGGCAGGGGCAGTCAATTCTACCATCAGCGGCTTACCAAAGGGGACGGGGGTCATGGGCTCCGGCCCCACCCCCGAAGCTGATGACATTAATTCACAAATGTAGTTTTTACTAATTTAAAGTAGTAATAAAAGAGTTATTCAATATCCTAGTGGAATACGTTTCAAATAACTACAAATCGATGTAAAAAAAAAAAAAATCTTAAGTTGAGCGTAAATGAAACATTCTTTGTAAGAAAACGTCAACTGAGCTGGATACTACATCTACAATCCACCCTCCCCGTACAAAAAGTCAGGTTCACAATTATTTATTACACGGGAAAAGGAAAGCATTTTATTTATAGTCAGTGCTG